TTCTGTTCCGGATTTTTTTTCTTCGTTTTTTTGTCATAACTTTGTCTACCTATCAGCATAAAAATTTTTGTCCTATACAAATTACACCGGAAGATATTCAACCGGAAGTGAACATCGATTTCCTGTTTAAACCGGAAGTGAAATTGAAAATTTGACTGTACCGTTTTGTTTACTTTCTTAAACTGTCTTTGCTCAATTTTTTTCAGATTAATCAGACAAAAAGCAAAAAAAATGAAAAAAATGCAAAATTTGGCAAAAAAAATGTCTGCGACAAATTTTCGAATTTTGAAATTTTGAAACTGCTATTCTTTCAGATTTTGCCAGTAGATTCCAAAAATGCAAACCCAAAGAAAATCGACCCAAAAATACGACTTCTAGAGCCGATTATCTATTCTTGCACATATTGAACTGTGGCACTTCCGGTTTTGCAAAAAAGATCCAAAATATATTTATGCACATCGTCGCCTATATCTAAGGTTCGTGAACGTTGAAAGGTTGCTGCAACTATTGTAGTCTAAGCTCAGGAAGGTGTGTAAAAATCGAAAAAAAAAAAAAAAAAAAGAATTGACATTTCGATAACAAACTGGGACTTTGCCGTAGCAAAGTCCCACAAAAATTCCTTGAAGAGATGTAGTCCTCTAGATATACATCTATAACAATCAAATACATTTCCTTAACAATGAGCAATCAGCTCTAACTTAGACTAAAGGATTTAGATGACTACATCCCTTAAATATTAGCACTATTCATATCATTAGCCATTTAATAAATATACAATAAATGATACATAACACAATTTTGTGGTATACTACTCCTGAGTTTTTTTTGTATGCAACATTTCAACAATTGTGTACAAAGAACTTAAAACTAAGGAGTAGTAAACTATAAATTTGGGTTTCTTTATTTAATGTGTTCTCTACCTCAAAATAATGCTAAAGGATTAAATATATACATAGCTTGATAGAATACAAATATGAAGTATATCTCCAGATAAATATGGTAAAGAACTAAAGATTAAAATATTTAAAAAAATGGTTTGATGTATGTAGAATAGAACACAGTAAGGAAAGTAAAAAGATGACATGAACACAGAGGCAGAGTGAGAAAGAAACAAGAAGAATCAAAATAATAGAAAACATTAGAAGAAACACAAGACAAGCACAGAGCCTCATAATATAACAAACAGCAAAATCTATAATCATGATATTTAACAATATAATAAACAAACTCTGGTTTGGTGTATAGTCAAGTCAAGTACAAATATATGCACTTTCAAGGATTCTAATTACAAACAAAAACAGTCCACTGTATTTTAGGGAGAATAAATATTAAGAGAAACTAGACAGACTAGACTTAAATTGTGTTAATTAGGTCCAATGCTCAGACTACCTAACAATAAAGCGGACATCTGTTCATTTTGCATTGAGACACCTCTGGAAGCAGACAAATGTCTTTGCTCTAGACTCTAAACAGAGTACACCAAATCAAAATGTTGTGTTTATATTTTGAATAGCACCTAGAAGAGCACAAATATCTTTGCTCTACTCTTAACCAGATAAACCAAACCAAATTAACAGTGTCAGTTTTTAAGGCAAGAAAACGACCTGCCACCCTTGAATAATGGTTTTACAATACGGGCATGGTTTGCCTTTAAAGTTTGGTAGACATTGTTCACAACAACAGATATGTCTACATGGTTTAAACATGATGTTTCTATCTTTACTTACACAGAATACACACACATTGCTAGACTCAGATTCTACTGGATTACCTCCCTTACCTGAAATTAGAAATGAGATGGAGTTTTAAATCTTAGTTTTCTTACAAAGCCTTACTAATAATGAATTTTACGTTCTACTTCATGGGCTAATGAAGATGAGCAGCACCATGCAGTGTGCAATGAGGGCAATTTTTCCAGAACCACGACATTGGCCTACCCTTTTTCGATTTCCAACTATCAGGGATCTTTAAGACAAAGCCCTACAGTGTGCAATTCAGATAAAAAGTCTTCAAAGCACAATGGTCTTAAATATCTCTTTCTTTAATAAAGTTTTTAATCTTAATGATAGATTTTGTACCAGATGTAAAATATAGGCCTATGTGTTGGTTTTTGTATTGTATCTTTCAGTCTACAATCTGATCAATTCAGACAAAAAGTCAAGGGAGCAGTTATTTTTAGTAAAGGAAGATTACTTAGACCAATAATAAAAAAAAACATTGCGTAAATCCCAAATTTTGACTTTGTATTCTTCTAGACTACATGACTACAAATGTAGTACATTTAATGTTATAATTTAGAATTTCCAATATAGAAATGACACAAGGTATAGTTCTAACTTCATGACCTAGGCCGGTGCTTTTATACAGGAATTCTATTCTCATATCACCCTAACATTAACTTGAAATCTTTGACATTCTGAATTATTCCATTCAGATGGGAAGTTTTGCAAAATCCTCAACTTACCTTTTTTCTTCAATCTTGAGTATTCATTTAACAAGGCAGATAACTCTTTTTCATATTTCTTTATTTCTTCTTCAACTTCTCGCTTCAGTTGTTCTATTCTATTTAGATATTCATTTCTCTCTCCAATTAAAGTAACCTCCATTTCTTGCTGTTGCTGAGCTCCAGTTTGTAATTCTCTATGCTGCTGATTGATTATTGAGTCTTTTTCATGTAATTGATTTAGTAGTTGTTGTTTAGTGCAACACATAAAAAGGTTTTCACGATCTTTTTTACACAATTGCTGTTCTTTATGATTAAGTTCCTGTTTGTGCTGATGGAGTTGCTGCCCTTGTTGATGGAGTTGCTGCCCTTGTTGATGTACTATCTGATCTTTAAGATGAAGTTGTTCTTCCTTCTGATGAAGTTGTTCTCTATGTTGATGAAGTTGTTCTCTATGTTGATGAAGTTGTTCTCTATGTTGATGAAGTTGTTGATCTTTCTGCTGTACTATTTGTTCACATTGTTGTCTCTCCTCCAGTATTTCCATATCTTTATCATTTAACTGTATACAATGTCTCTGGTTAATCTCACATACAGTAGACTTGATTTGTAGGTCTTTAGTTGTCAAGACTTTTTCTATCTGACCTAACTGTTTAGCATTCTTCTCAAGTTGATCATCCTTCAGATCTATAATGTCTTCCTTCTTCTTCAACTGTCCGTCTGCCAGTGCTGCAGCCTCTAACATTGGAACATCAGGATATTGACCACCTGAATTACATCAAATATTACATCATGGGTTTCATTATTTACATATAAAAATCAGCTAGAACAGGGCGACAGATTTATTTCAAAATACTTTACTATACATTTTAATACAATCCTAGCAATTGAAACACAGTTCGGTCAAATCAATGTCTGGATTATCACTAAATTGGTTTCAACATTATTTATGTTATCAGTTTCAATGAAAATGCAGATTTTTTCCAAATGATTTTGCTTGATATTTTGAGCACAATTCTAGTGATTATCACAATGAGCAGTCAAGGTCTATGAATGGTAGATTAATAAAACCAATATTACATTAGTAAATTGATTTTATCATTTACATATCATAATCAATGAAACTGCAGACTTTTTTTTAAATGACCTAGCTTTATTTCTTGAGCATAATTCTAGTGACAATCACAATGAGTAGTCAATGTCTATGAATGGTAGATTAATAAACTAATTATTACATCAGTAAATTAATTTTATAGTTTACATATCAAAATCAGTTTCAACAGGATGACAATTTTCAATTTTAAATTACTTTGCTAAACATTTTGGAGTTGAATCTTTGTTGACCACAAACAGTTATGACAGCAAATGATTTTATTCCAGAGAAAATTTAAACACTTTCTCCATTGGAAATAAAGTAATTTGTCTTCCATTGTACTTTGCCATCAGTCTAAATACAACCCACAGTTACAGTCTATATAGATTTAAGTCTTGAAAAGTTTGTAAACTATAAAAAAAAAATTTGAAGTCTAAAAGTTATACTAAAAGCTCATTTAATTTTTGAAAATATGATATTGTATAAATGTAATTTCATTAACTAAAATATTTTGAAAATTCCACTATATTTTGTTTTTTGTACATATGATAATTGTCTAGATATATATATAGATATTCAGTATATCTTTCTATATTGATGTATTGTGTAATAGAAGCCTTTAATACCAACTAGACATATATATATTGACTGGGGGGAACTCTGGTGACAAATTCTTAAAAATATTTTTTAAGGTGCATCCCTTTTTACGTCAAAAAAAGCACAAATATGCAGTATTCAATCTAGCACTAGTCAGATCTATTTTTACTCTATTTTATTTATGTAAGGTAAAGTGAGTTATAGATACTCACAAGTTTGAGAAAAGAATTTTTCAACAAGATGGAATAACAGTTGTGTTGAATACCCACATGATCTATAGGCTGTCAGTAAATCTCGGGATAAAGTTGGGGGGTAGGGATCAGGTACCACTAGGTTACCAATCTTTCTTACTGGCTCTGAAAAATATAATTATAACAATAAATAAATATATATACTTTAGATATAACTTTCATGACATACACAAATTGATCTAAATATCAGCTGTAAAATCAACAGTTCTATCTAGACTTCTAGTCTTCATTAGCCCAATTAGGTACAGAATAGTAGGACGTGTAAATCTTCATTCCTTTCATTTTATTTTCTAACAGATACAGTTCATCTGGTACTGTTGAAATGGTTTTTGGATATTTATAACAGAAATGAACTCTGTAATAAGACTTAAATATTCATTAATCAAATATAAGTATTTCAATGAACCACCAGGGAATACGTTTATATCAGCAGTAATATCAAGAGCCCCCTGTTCTTGGAGTAAGCTCATCTCAATATATGTCTTGGATATTAAAATGTATCGGGATAGTCAGATTTCAAACTAGAAGGTAATTCTCTAATGGAAGTAAAGGTGTTTGAGAAAATTAAATGAACTCACTGATTGTAGTGAAGAATACCACAATGGAATATATATTGTGATATGGCCCCAATAACTTAATAAAACTATAAACAGAACCTATTCAGACCTAAATACGATGTTTGTAGTAAATCTATAGTAAAAATCTAACTCAATATTATGTTTGTAGTAAATCTATAGTAAGAACCTACTCAATATGATGTTTGTAGTAAATCTTTGGTAAGAACCTAACTAATATAATGTTTGTAGTAAATCTTTAGTGAGAACCTAACTAATATGATGTTTGTAGTAAATCTTTGGTAAGAACCTAACTAATATGATGTTTGTAGTAAATCTTTGGTAAGAACCTAACTAATATAATGTTTGTAGTAAATCTATAGTATGAACCTAACTAAATATGATGTTTGTAGTAAATCTATAGTAAGAACCTACTCAATATGATGTTTGTAGTAAATCTTTGGTAAGAACCTAACTAATATAATGTTTGTAGAAAATCTATAGTAAGAACCTAACTAATATGATGTTTGTAGTAAATCTATAGTAAAAACCTAACTAATATGATGTTTGTAATAAATCTATTGTAAGAACCTAACTAATATGATGTTTGTAGTAAATCTATAGTAAAAACCTAACTAATATGATGTTTGTAGTAAATCTATAGTAAGAACCTAACTAAACATGATGTTTGTAGTAAATCTACAGTAACAACCTAAAAAATATGATGTTTGTAGTAAATCTATAGCTATAACCTAACTCTATATGATGTTTGTAGTAAATCTATGGAAAGAAACTAACATCAAACGTTTGTAGTAAATTTATAATAAGAACCTAACAAATATGATGTTAAAAGTAAATCATGAAACTAACCTGTAACAGATCGATCCAAATCAACTAATTTCTGAAATGAAAATAATATATATAGCATTTAATACAACATGTGATTTTGAACTGCCATTTCTGTAGTTTTTTAACAATGTAATTCTTGAAATAGTCAAATTCAATGATTGTCATACAAGAAGGCTTTGTGCTTAAAAAGACCTTTTTCTAATTTCCTGAATACTCTCTTAAACATTTAAGGGGAATAAAATTTCAATACGGCTGTATACAAATATTCTCTTAGTGGTTACAAATTTAGTTATTGATAGTCAATATTTACAGAGAGCTACCACTAATTCTTATATTTCACTTATACAAACTTATATCTCATAGAGTAATAAAAAACTTATTCATATCTTACCTTAATAGCTGCCATTTCTCTAATAAATTCTGGCCCTTTTTCATGAAGAATAAAGTGACATTGAGATGAGACTAGAGCATGTTGCTGCCAGGAGTCAGCTGTTGGTTCCCAGTCTAATATAGCTACACCACAACAAAAACAGATTACTTTATTAGCTACAACTGAAATATAAAAGTTATCTATTTATAAGAAAAATTCAGATGTCTCCTTATTTTTTGGTTCCCTGCAGTTTGACAGTGTCAATTTAAGCAAACTATTTGATCAATTGGTGTTTATAATGAATTACCATGTATTCTTAATCATATTATTATGTTCTTATTGCATATAATTAAGAGTTTTAACCAATCATAAATGTCCATGCATGTACAGTCTGGATTAACCAAACAAAATACTTTTTGACCTTTTTTGATTGGTCACTCATTGGAATTCTGCTAAGTAATTCTCTTCTAATTTAGCTAATTATGAATTATTTATGGAAATATGGGACAAACTGGTATCTTTTCCAAGTCATTAGAACATCTCTACTTTCTATTCATATAAGTATAAGCATTATTATTTCAATTTTCATAAATGAAAATAAGGGAACCCACCTTAAATATAAAATATATTTTAATATTTGCACTTTCAGGGAAACAGTAACAATAGTTTAAGGATATTTAAATGGATCATGTTTCTCAGAAAATGCCTAATATACATTATGTTCTTGGAGTAACTGTAGAAAACTTTAAAAAAAGTTTTTGTTTGATTGCAGAAGAACCATGTGTACAAATTCAATCTCATTAAAAAATGATGCAGATAGTCGTAACAAATGTACACTAAGTGAACAAAGTGAATAAAACAGTGACTAAGATAATAAGTTTTTATCTAATAATCAATTACCTGTATGAAAAAATCCTGCCTCAGCCAGCTGAGTTTTGGTTGGTCGATATTGTTTAGGCCAGTATTTAAATGATCCAAGCGTTTGTTTATAGCTTTAAATTGAGGATGATAGATTGGATATACATTACGCTGGTCACGTGGCACTTCAGTGTTGCTCTGACACAGTTTTTTATGGACGAGTTCCTCTAATTCACGAGTTACATCCCCTACATCGATTCCACTGATCATAGGACACTGGTATCGTCCCTTAGGTGAGATTCTTTGATGAATATTCCTGATATTACTTTCATGAAATGAGGCCTGACCTCCACAATAAACGCACTGAACATGCTCTTCCTTCTCTGCTAAATATCTAAATCCTTTTTTCGCCCATTCCTCAGAATTTACATCAGTTGGATCAGGAAAAGACAACAGTCTTAAAGCTTCTCTAACCATTGATTTCTTCTCTCCAATTTTAGGATGGAAGACTTTCCCTGTAAACTGAGCACTGTGGTCCATAAAAATTCTTGGTACAATTGGAAGATTTTGGTTATTTCTATTACCGGTATCTACCCTGCTTCTTGTTTCAGCATCGTCTCCTCCAGAAAATAAATTGCGTCTAACATTTTGAACTTCTGAGTCATCAACAATAAATGCAGTTGTATGAGTTGGTGGTGTTTCGTTAGGTCTTAATAAATTGGTATCAGAATTGATATTGGCTGAACCATTCAGCGTTTTTGGTAGAGTTTGTGAACTATTTTCAGGTGTGAATTCATCATCAGATGGTTGTTGAGGTGGACTACAAAAGTGATTCAGTATTCCTACATCTGTTGGTGAAGGAGTCACTGGATCCTGAAACAGTATTTCAGGTGAAGCATCCTGATTATCTGGATCAAGAAATGGACAGTTCATATTCAGGATTCTATGGACTGCAACAGGAGATTCCTTACCCCAGATATTATATTCAATACCACAACAAAAACACTTCACTCCTTCTTTCTCTGAATAATAAAACCCAGCTCTAGCAAGACTCAGAAACGATGCCGATTCCAAATCCACATGTGGAACTTTACTCTGACAGTTGTCAACAATAACATGGTCACGCCGATCTTCATGACGCTTATTCCACAAATTGAATGATGCGATCCTCGAACTGAGGCTTGACATTGCACTATTCACATTCGACATTATCAAAAGCAATGATATTTTATCAAATTTAATCCTTGAACACAACAAAACTGACAAAAATTTCCAAAATACTAACAAAACTAGCACAAAGCCGCCATTTTGGCTATTTTATTTTGGAACTCTTCAATAATTGAAGGAAAAACTAGTCTAAAGCACTTATACGGTGGTCAAAGAGTGCAATTATGATATTTTTTTTTCGATTCCTTCGATTCTTACACCAAAACCTGCAGAAAGGATACTTTTATTTATTTTTCACCGAAGATATTGTAAACAAAACAAGGAAATCGTGTGATTTCTAGATTGTCAAAGTTCCGAAGACTTAACAACTAAAGCAAGTGAAAATAATTGCCTACAGTAGCAAAATCGGCATATATGTAAAGGCAGAACAATATGTCGTAGAGATAACTATCTTTGGTTACATTGTTTGCAATAAGGGTGGCAATGATTCCAAACTTGTGCAGTGGCATCTTTACCCAGGAGTCGGTGTTGATGTCCCTCAGCTTCAGGTTTCTCTTGATGGTATCCTTGTAGCGAAGGCGAGGTCTTTTTACTGGGGTAGAACGTTTAGTGACACCAAACGTTTCTGAGAATTTACCTTCAACACTAACGTTTGCAATCATTCTTGTGCTCTCTGGGCATCCTTACGTCCTCAAGAGTTGTCATGAACTCACTCTTCCAACTGCATCAAACGCCTTTGTGAAGTCAACAAATACAATGTACAGCTTTTGGTCTAGTTCGACGCACTTTAGTTGCAGTGATGGACTGATATTGGTCGGCCGGCAGAATTTGTTTCAGGGGACATCATCCTCTTGAACTACAGGCCTGCTCCGATTTGATCTCCATAATGTGTCTCCCGAACTACGTCTGGTGATGTTTTTGGACAGCCGGTTAATGAGAATCCGTACAAGGACTTTGCCTGCAGGGGACAGCAGAGCGATTCCTCCTCCATAGCATTTATGATCAGTTGGTATAGCCCGTTTGACAGATTTACTCCTCGTAACCTAATATACAAGTTCTGTGGATTGATATCAAATTCCGCTTTTACACTACTAACTTCATGAAGTCAGAGAATTATTTTCATGCATTTGAGTCGACTTCTCCTGTCTCAATCAACGAGTACAACGTTTATACATAGTTTGTGTTTTAGAATACAAAATATCCTGTTTTACTAGCTAAGCGATTGGCTTACTGAGAGTTTTTGTTTTTTATGCCCATTTTTTGATACTGACAACATAGTTTTTCATAATTGTGACCTACCATTTCATCATTTTTAGACCCCAACCTGCCTCTAGGCTACTCTTTCCGCCTATTCATAAGTCAATTTTCCCGCAAATTTTTAAACTTGCATTGAGCTTTCTTACATATATTGGATATTTATCAATTTTAACTGTTGAAAAGAGAATAGATCAAGGCTATTATGTAAATTAAACGGTTTAGCAAAAAATTATTTTGGTAAAAGGAAACGTGAGGTTTTTCTGTCTGTACTGGCAAAGTATTAGGCTACTGGGGTGCAGAAAATAAAAACTTAAAAATATTTCTTCCGATTAAACCTAATCATCTCGGTGTTCAGTCTCTACCAAGGGAACTGGGAAAATGAAGTTTGTTATAAATCATTTATCACTGATGCCTCTGGTCATCATAGTCTATAGCTGAGGAAGGGAAATAACTCGCATTTAGGAGTTGTTGTGAAATCAGTGCTGAAATGCCAAGAAAGAAATCTTCAGACAGCCTGGCTGATATTTGTCTCAAAAATATCGCCAAAAATATGGACAGTTATTGGCTGTCTGACTTAGACAGTGATTTTGGTGAAAATCCTTATCTTATGTACATCGTGGGCCCATTTGAACATCTGAGTAAGTAATGCTGCAGACCACAATAATTTCTTGCTCATCTCCTATTGCCCCTATACTACAATTAACTAACTCTCTCTCATTATATTAAAATGTTTTTTGATATAAGGAAGATTCTGGACAAATTTATTTTCAGTTATTATTTATATGTGCATCTAGAGATTTGAGTGATTGGCAACTTAAGACCATTGATAATCGATGATAAGCAAATATTATGTGGGTCATAATATGTGCTTTATTCTCCTTTTGAAAAAGAGTTTGAACTAACATAGGGAATCAACAGGTCCCCACCAATAAATGGGTCCCAACCCCCTGAAAAAGATGCAGGATAGCATGGAAGCAACTCATCTAATGTCCACACTGACCACAGGCTCCAACTCATCTACTTGAACTAATACTGATTTTTATATTCCCTATAGCCTTCTATATAAGACCTAACATTAACTGGATGTAGGCCTATAGTTAATTATAAAAGTAATAGTAGTACATTCAGTTGTGTCAATTTTTAAATATAAATTCATATTGTTTTCAGCTGAATGGCAGATACAGAAGTTGATTTATACGTTGTCCTCATTAAAGTTACTGAAAAGACGTCATCTTCAGATTCTAATTAGTGGTATATTAAAATCACTGGACTTGAGTAAATCTATCATAGCAGCTAACAATGGATTGATTTTAAAATCAGTTGCATTCAGATGTCAGGTGAGCTAACTTAAAATCATCTTCACAATTTCAAGCTATTACAAACTTTGTCTTATACCTTGACTGCAATAGCCACTATTCTTATCTATTCTTATAGCACACAAGTTTGTAAATTGTCGATTTGATTGGATATTGTAAGCTAGCGAATACAATCAGTCAGAGCTATCGATAGAAAGTCTGTAAACAATAGGCCATAATATTTAAGTCTTTCTGTCTTGCCTCTAATTTGCTGTTTTCATTGGCATACAATCCAATCAAATCGCTGCATTCTGTGATACAACAAAGGTGGCTATTGCAGTTTGTAATACTTTGACATTGTGAAGATAAATTAAAATAGATAATTAACCCTTTTGGCCATGGATTTAATCTGGATGGAGAGACAGATTTACACATGAACTTAACCATAATATGAATTTTTCTTTATTTTCAATATTATAAGATGATTGTCGATTGTCTTTGGTGTGAAATCCCTTGAGACAAAAAACTCTGTTTTCTCATGCAACCATATCTTTGTTTAATGCTGCCATGCTTTGTTCTAATATTTATATCTTCACCGCCCTCAAAGGAGAACAGTTGTACCATTTAGCTGCAATCAAATTTACATTCTTATGTAATCTGACAATCATAGGGTAAAGTTTGAAGACTGTTACCAGATTACTCAGGGCTATGAATTAAGAAATATAGGTGCACAAGTAAACCTGGGAAAAGGTGCTGAACAGTGCAATGCACATGCTGGAATTAATAGAATGAATTCTATCTTTTAATCTTGTCTTTCAGAGGCTGACTTCATTGAATATTAGAGGCTGTAATTATATCACACCAAATGTTATTGCTGAATCAATCCGAAATTTACCGTTATTAAAACATCTACAACTATCAAGGACTAAAACTAACGACATGGTCCTTTCTGTCATTGGTGATTATTGTTCGTTTTTACTGTCCCTCGATATCTCAGGGTGTGTCGTTAGCAATAAAGGGGCAGATAATCTGTGTCAGACATATTCGAAGGATGGACCGAAATGTCTTTCTTTACAAAAACTGAACATTCAAGCCACGCACATCACTATTAAAGGTGCTGTGGCAATTATACAAACATTTAGGGATTTACGATTGTTTGATTTCATTGATTCTTTTGAAGCGATGATTTCAGTGGTGAAAGATAATATAAGTGTGGATGACATGATACAGACATGATATTCAAATTTACAAAGTTATGGTGCATGCATGAAATTCATGATGCTGAGGATTTCAAAATTGTTGTGAGGAGTTGCCCATTTGTAACAGAACTTTCATTTTTTTGCAGAGTAGAATGTGAATATTTGTTGTTGTTGCAGGATCTGAAATTTTTACATACTTTAGATATTTGTAATGATCTTACTTATTTACTTCCCTTGATCAAGGTAAAGGGAGCTAACTTTACATCATTAGTCTTGGAATTTGTAGAGGATCTTAACACTGAAACCTTAGGAAAATATTGCCCAAATTTAGAGAATTTGTATATTGGTATGTTACTGTCTCCAAAATCTGCTGATAGAACTACTCAAAACATTTATAAAAAATTAGAAACTTTAACAATTAAAGTGGAAAATGTTGAAGCTGACTTTGATCCGATTGATTTATCCACCCTTTTGGAGAATGCAACAAATTTGAAGAAACTGGAATTATTTAATGTTGATTCATTGACTGATAATTTATTGAATCAAATCCTGATTTTCAACCCCCTGGCAAAGTTAGAGGAGATTCTTCTAGACGATTGTCATTCAATTACAGAAGAAATATTTTGGCAATTGATAACAAGAGAAAATCAACTAAGGAAAATAGTCCTCATTCAATGCTTCGAGATAACGAAGGAAAACTTTGAAACTTTTAAGAAATATATTACTCAGAACTGCTTTGATTTGACTTTGTCTTATGAATAATTTACGTAGCCAATTTATTAAGAGAATATGGGGGCACCCTGGCTCCACTTTTTGATTTTAGAAAATTTCCTAATATGGAAAAATGCATTTAAGTCGGCATTAAAAGCTTTAATAATGTAAAAGGCATAGCTCATATTTTTTAAGGGTATGCTGGGATAGGGGACTAAGAACCACTGCCAGAAAAAACTCTTTTGTTTCTTGGAACCTGAAAAATAAAAGTTTTTTGACAGAATTTCATACACCCTCACTTCTATGATTACTGATTCAAATCAAATGGTATTTGTATTTTCACAAATGACGATTTAAATGAAATGACTTAATCGTAGGGATTCTAAAAAAAAACTTTTTTTTGCCAAAAAAAAATTGTCAAACACCTCTATGCTAATGATCAAATGTTTTTTGCATTTACACCAAATTTTTTTTTTCAAGTATGTTATTCTTTGGACTGGGTTGTCCAAACAGTCAACTAATAGTGATGATATTGCTATACCAGTAGTTATATATTTTATTCACTTATTTCAAATGTATTATGTTATAAAGATTTATAAAATTTTGATAGATTTTCAGAATTTTTTATCATACACTTTACATTATATAAATGTAAGGTTATATTTTGATGAATAAAATCTTAGTATGGAAGTTTTGTGTATCATTTTAAGTGCATCAGAAGTTACTTGTAGTCTGAATAAACGCTCTCAGAGTGTAGGTAGTAGTTTGTGGTCTGAATTCTCTTGCGCAGGCGCACTCGATTTTTGCTCTACTTCCGGAAAAATGAAAAAGTAAACAGAAAAAATTTTGATAATAATTTGTGAATATTGTATTTAACGCTAAATCCATGATATGGATAATGAGGCGGTGCAAGAAACAGACGATGAAAGAGATGGCCTAAATCACGACGATTCTTCCATGCCATTGAATGGCCATCCCTCGAGCAGAACTGATCAAAATTTGGGATGCGGTTTCAAGCAGACGACGTCCCCAAATAGAATCGGACGTCGTCAAAATGTTCGTCATGAATCGGATTGTCCTTTGAACGAAGAAAACATGAAGTCTTTAAAAACTAATGCGTCCCCAACATGTAAACTGTACGTCAAAGCTCGTTTGAATGAGAAGAACCACCCAGAGAAATTTGTTGTGATTATTGATAAGTCCTATCTGAAGAAATGTGATGGCATTGTAAAGCTTGTACAAATTGTAGGTATCTAGTTTGATGACATTTTCCACTATGATTTGCATATGATTAGTCTATCCTATTACAGAAACTTGATAACCAACAGTACAATTTTTGTTTTGACAACCAAGCATTTTTAAGGGACATTCCACTTTTTTGTAAAAAAATTTTATTATCAAAAACATTGTGAATTATAAACCTTACGTAATATTATTAGATATTTTTGGTATTTAAAAATTAACGGCTGGATTCTTTTAGATAATACTTTCAAACACGTTAAAGGAAACATTTCTCTAGATTTTGATGTACAGTTTTCTTAACAAATTTGAGCAAAAAAAATTTCTGACCTGCAAAAAAAAATTTTGACCTACAAAAAAATCGGAAAGTCCCTTTAAACTAGCCTTTCTTGATTTTGCCAGTAAGAAAAGGTTGTTTTGGTGTTTTGTTTTTTTCTTAATATAACTAGGTTTTTCTTTCTTATCTTTTGTAAGCACTGGAGCTTGGCCAGAAATTTTGCCAAGTCTGAAAACACTAAAAGCCGCAAATGAGGCATGTATTTCAAACAACCAGATCTTTGTTTTTCCCAACATTCTTTTGTTGGTATAAATAATTAGGTCATTTGGTTGTAAACTTTTATACCTTGATTGAAATTTTCAGAAGTTTAACTCAAAATTCTTATCTATTTTTCAGGTTTTATCAACAGTCACGTTGGTAATGTTAGCTACTGCTGGTAGACAAGATGGTGGCTTACTTCATCTTCCCCTCAGCTGGCATTATCGCACCATGTTATTTGTCTTAATACTGACCATCTTATCTAGTTTCTTACTGCTAATTGGTCATGTGACTAACCTTATTAGTTTGTTACCCATTGATTGGATTCTTTTTGTAAGTAAATCTTTTTATATCTTGAAATAAGGTCATTAGGCACATGTTGTACAAGATCAAAATAACAAGTACTACACAATAATCAAAGGTATTGTAAAGAGGTTTTCGAAATTTTTTATGTGCATCGAGTACACTGATAGCATCAATTTGCATCATTCCATTGCAAGAATAAGGCGTTTGCTTGAAAATTGGAATGGTGCAAATTGATGCTATCAGTGTCCACGATACATGTAAAATTTTTGGAAAACCTGTTACAATCCCTTTTAATGTATGGTAGGGTGATTAAAATGATAATTATTGGTGACTAATGTTATTAGTTTGTTTCCAATCCATTGAATTCTTTGTGCAAGTAAGCTCAAAATAAAAAAAAATGCTCATATATGCAGCTTGATAAAGATTGAAAATAGGACCTGCATAAAACAAGTAGAAAAAGGATTCCAAAGTTTCTTGTAGTTTAAACCATTTATAACAAAACTGCTAATTGGAATCGTAGTGATCTAGGTTGTCATTAAGTCTTTTCACTATTCTGGCTTAACGAAGACTAACGAGATAGATAATGACTCTAAAGCTAACAGCAGATCTTTGAATTTTGATTATTTATAATTATCACTATATCATTAGATGTATTATGAAGATCATGTAGCGTGAAACTCTGAGTAACAACAACATGTTTTTTAGGTTCTGCTTTGATATTTCAATATCGCTCTATAATTGATGTATTGAGCTCTATTTTAACAGTGAAAATATTTTATTTCATTGTATGTATTATCATACAATATTCATAATAATTATATGAGTTAGATGCAATCATCAATAGGGCAGTAGCCAGTAAGAGAGCAGATTCTGTAACAGGTCGTTCAGTTTCCTTGCCGTACCAAACACATCTGGCAAATAGAGCACAGTCTCATTTATTTTTCAGGATTTGGTGCTTTATTCAGTATTTACCTTCCTATATTTAGTTGGTACATCACTTGTCGCCAGTGCTTTTGATTTTTATGATAAAATGAATTCTAATGTGAGTAAGATGACACTCAATCAACTGGTTGTTTGTATTGTAAGTATCCTATTCTAATATAATGAAAATCCTGCTAATACTAACTCTTTTTTATATAATAAAATCCTGGCCACGTATTCTTGGCGCTAGGATTCCCTAGAATCAATGTTAGAAGATAAGAACCTAGGACATCCTAGGATTCATCATTTCGAGAATACGTGGCTTGGCTGGGTATTCTCAAAACGATCTTAGCACTAGGTTGTCCAAAGATCTTAACACTATTTCTATAATATCCTAGCGCCAAGATCATTTCGACATCAGTAGCTAGAAGATCAAAATTACAGTCAAGGCAGTCTGCAGCCCTACTATTGTTTCCTAGAGAAGTATATATTATTACTGAAGAGTCAAATTGGCTTGTATACCTTTGATGAAGGTTAAGGTTTTGGGATGTTTTTTTTATTTTTCAGGTGTTAGGCTATATGTGTATAGTATGTTATATAATTTCAGGTTCTAGGCTATATGTGTATAGTATGTTATATAATTTCAGGTTCTAGGCTATATGTGTATAGTATGTTATATATTTTCAGGTTCTAGGCTATATGTGTATAGTATGTTATATAATTTCAGGTTCTAGGCTATATGTGTATAGTATGTTATATAATTCCAGGTTCTAGGCTATATGTGTATAGTATGTTATATATTTTCAGGTTCTAGTCTATATGTGTATAGTATGTTATATATTTTCAGGTTCTAGGCTATATGTGTATAGTATGTTATATAATTCCAGGTTCTAGGCTATATGTGTATAGTATGTTATATATTTTCAGGTTCTAGGCAATATGTGTATAATGTTATATATTTTCAGGTTCTAGGCTATATGTGTATAGTATGTTATATAATTTCAGGTTCTGGGCTATATGTGTATAGTATGTTATATAATTTCAGGTTCTAGGCTATATGTGTATAGTATGTTATATAATTTCAGGTTCTAGGCTATATGTGTATAGTATGTTATATAATTCCAGGTTCTAGGCTATATGTGTATAGTATGTTATATATTTTCAGGTTCTAGGCTATATGTGTATAGTATGTTATATAATTTCAGGTTCTGGGCTATATGTGTATAGTATGTTATATATTTTCAGGTTCTAGGCTATATGTGTATAGTATGTTATATATTTTGAGGTTCTAGGCTATATGTGTATAGTATGTTATATATTTTGAGGTTCTAGGCTATATGTGTATAATGTTATATAATTTCAGGTTCTAGGCTATATGTGTATAGTATGTTATATATTTTGAGGCTCTGGGCTATATGTGTATAATGTTATATATTTTCAGGTTCTAGGCTATATGTGTATAGTATGTTATATAATTTTAGGTTCTGGGCTATATGTGTATAGTATGTTATATAATTTTAGGTTCTGGGCTATATGTGTATAGTGTGTTATATAATTTCAGGTTCTAGGCTATATGTGTATAGTATGTTATATAATTTCAGGTTCTAGGCTATATGTGTATAGTATGTTATATAATTTCAGGTTCTGGGCTATATGTGTATAGTATGTTATATATTTTGAGGTTCTAGGCTATATGTGTATAGTATGTTATATATTTTGAGGTTCTAGGCTATATGTGTATAGTATGTTATATATTTTGAGGTTCTAGGCTATATGTGTATAATGTTATATAATTTCAGGTTCTAGGCTATATGTGTATAGTATGTTATATATTTTGAGGCTCTGGGCTATATGTGTATAATGTTATATATTTTCAGGTTCTAGGCTATATGTGTATAGTATGTTATATAATTTTAGGTTCTGGGCTATATGTGTATAGTATGTTATATAATTTTAGGTTCTGGGCTATATGTGTATAGTATGTTATATAATTTCAGGTTCTAGGCTATATGTGTATAGTATGTCATATAATTTTAGCTTCTAGGCTATATGTGTATAGTATGTTATATAATTTCAGGTTCTAGGCTATATGTGTATGTTATGTTATATAATTTCAGCTTCTGGGCTATATGTGTATAGTATGTTATATAATTTCAGGTTCTAGGCTATATGTGTATAGTATGTTATATAATTTTAGGTTCTAGGCTATATGTGTATAGTATGTTATATAATTTTAGGTTCTAGGCTATATGTGTATAGTATGTTATATAATTTCAGGTTCTAGGCTATATGTGTATAGTATGTTATATAATTTCAGGTTCTGGGCTATATGTGTATGTTATGTTATATAATTTCAGGTTCTAGGCTATATGTGTATGTTATGTTATATAATTTCAGGTTCTAGGCTATATGTGTATAGTATGTTATATAATTTCAGGTTCTAGGCTATATGTGTATAGTATGTTATATAATTTCAGGTTCTAGGCTATATGTGTATAGTATGTTATATATTTTGAGGTTCTAGGCTATATGTGTATAGTATGTTATATATTTTCAGGTTCTGGGCTATATGTGTATGTTATGTTATGGGTTAACAGCTATATGTAGTTATAGAATGTATAAAATACAGTATAACCTCTATCAGAGAAAACGACTAATAGAAGAGGAGGAGTTTGATATCTGAAGATCTGTCAGACGTACTTGCACAGTGTAAAATTTTATCCTGGTTCAAAATTTCCAGAGCATTGAACACGAACTTGCTCTGCTCCTGCCTGTTTCTGAATTCCAAGGAATTTCTCAGAGTAAGAAATAGAGTACTGTAGGAATTTTTAAAGTTTCATTATGTATCATATCCTAGTCCATCAAATACAGGTTGCACTCATATCATCTATTTTGTATACACCATAGGACATTACTGCTTGAAATTTTTGGGGGTGTCAATATGTCCTGTATTAAACCTGAATATCTCCTGATAGTTTTCACATGAAAAATTGTGATTTTGTTGCTGTGATTGCTTTGATTAACTCCAAATGAAAAGAAATTGTGATTTTTAAAGAATTGATCTTCCAGTCTTTATACGCTCAAAAAAAATCAGCTTTAAATTGTAAAAATAGTAAGATAAGATATTTTACTGTAAATATTTTTATATGGTAGAAATTAATGTTGTAAACAGTGCTTTATCATGCTTAATTTAGAGAATATTTTGTTAAAAAGAAAGAAACAACTATATTTTACAAGGATAACAACTTAGGTTCACAGTAAAGGATCCATTCTACCAGCTGGTCCTTGGCCAAACAAACTTGGCATTGATTTTTCCCAGACTATCCGTACCCATTTACAGTTGGGTCGACTGGATAGATGATGGTTTTCAGTTGAACCATTTTGTTTGCTTATAAAAGTAGAAATTTCTTAAAAAATTTGACATCACTTATCTTTGGGTTATCCAGAGAGCAGTTTACTGTTGTTTTATTGTATGTTTGTATAAAAACCAGGCATATCCTAACTTCCAGAATCCTATATTCCAGAATGTTGTTTCTTTTTGTACAATTGTCAGCTTATTGAAATGTTAGGTATTACTTGACTCTGGGTTATATTCTAGAGAGAGGTTTACTGTTGTTTTATTGTATGATAATATAAACACCAGGCATCTCCTTCATTTGAGCTATATTCCAGAAGGTGGTTCTTGTTTGTACTATTGTCTGCAGTAGTATATGTAGGGGTAGGCCATTGGTCCCTTCATGCCTGTGAAAGGTCTTATTTTGAAGTGAAACTTAAGCCCTCTAAATGCTCTCAATTTATCTCATACAATCTGAAATTCTTTGGCCTCTGGGGGTCTCTCCCAGCTCCAAGCCCCCTGCCTCAAGGGGCTTCGGCTTTTCTAGATGTGCCCTGATTGTCAGCTTATTGGAATCGATCAAGATTCCAGAAAAAGGTTGAAAACCCCTGATAATTAAAAGCTAGATCATGAATATCTGTAATTCTGCTACCAGTTTATAATCTGTCTCATTGTTTTTGCTGTTTTTATGTAGTTTATCAATCCAATTGTTGATATAAAGTATATGTTTTTCAGATTAGTCAGTATTACTTATTGTTGTTTTGTTTCCTGTAGAACTTATTCAGTAGTCAGCCATATTAAATTCAGTATGAGGCCTGTATAAGGTCTATAATATTATTAATTGGTTTGTCAACAATATCTATGTACATCCATGCATTGTTGGAAATAATCTCAGATTATAGGTACAGTACAAGGTTTTCAAAAAATTTAATATTTTGACCACTGGACTTTGCAGGTTAATCTAGAAAATGTAATGCACTTGTTGACATAGAAAAAGTCTTTGGTATTTTGGAACTCAATGAAGGACCTTATTCTTGAAAGATGACTATAACATACAGATTTTAAGAAATACAGATTGGATAATAAAACTGACTCTAAACAGATTTTAGTGATTGACTTGAACATTAAAATCATATGAGGTTAAGATTTCAAGAAAAAGGCTCAGACTTCTTTGGCTTATATCACTGAATCAGTACCCACTGGTAGAATAAAGTAACAAGTAATAGACGCCTGGCTTATCAAACTACAGTTTATCTAGTTTTGATAGTAAGTATATTACATGGATGTGCTGAGATATTGTTGCTCCTTTTTTTCGATAGTCTTTTTTATTATAGATATTTTTTGATTTATTGATGCTATCAGTGTCCCCGATACACATAAAGAAAACCTCTTTACAATCATTTTAAGATGTTTTTGACAACACACATTTGTTTGTTAATTTTTTATCAATCCAGTCTTCTTACCAGTTTATTTATGCATGTTCTAATCTTCTTTATTTTTTAGAGAAATCTCAGATTTAATTTTATACTCATATAGACTGCTGATCACAAGGTGTCAGTCTCAGTAAAATGCAATATCACTTTATCCAGTTAGGAACTTAACTGCTTTTCTATATGACAAAGTCTTTAGAAAAGTCGAGTTGTCAATCTAATTTTTAAAAGCAGATAATTATGAACACTCATGTATATAAGAAAGCACAGATTATGAAGGTGAGCTGTGAACACTCTTACTGATAAGTTTAGCTAGATATGATTGGTCGAACAGAACTTGAATGTACACCTTTAAGTTACGATGATTTTTTTGTAAGGTTTTTGTTATTTCTTTATCAATCAAGTCTTACCAATTTGTTTATGCATATTCTAGTCTTCTTAAGATTTTTTTTAATACTCATATGGATGGTGAGGATTGCTTTTTACAGCTGAGCACAAGGAATCAGTCATTTTATAAGGCAAATCATGCCCAGTTACTATAATTATATTCAAAGGACAGGCCTTAAGCATAATCAATTGTTAAATTTATGTTTTGACTATATTTAAGTAAAATCAATAAATAGGGCAGGCCTTGGCTATTGGTGCCTCTGTAAGCGTGGACCATTGTTGTATTATTTTAGGTTTTATTTGTTATACCATTGTTTTATTAAATGCTTATTTTTGATCTTTATTAAAGAATCTCTTCTTATTAAGTAGTTTTATTAGTGTGTTCCTTTTTAGAGAAAAGGTTAATTCCTTTATATATAATTCTCTTTTCATGTGTTTAGAATTCTCACTTAAAACATACAGTGCTGTATCTGGTATCATGTAAATTACTGGGCTTGGCTATATACATTGCGAGACTAGCAAGAGACCTGCTGAGGTAGCTTTACAGTGCACATATTATAGAAAAAACTATTAGTAATTGATAGACAACCTAAATGACCAATTAGAAATGGATAAATAACTTACATAACCAAGTAATGGATAGACAACTTACATGACCTAGTAGTGGATAGACAAATTACATGACCTAGTAGTGGATAGACAAATTACATGACCTAGTAATGGATAGACAAATTACATGACCTAGTAATGGATAGACAATTTACATGACCTAGTAATGGATAGACAAATTACATGACCTAGTAATGGATAGACAACTTACATGACCTAGTAATGGATAGACAAATTACATGACCTAGTAATGGATAGACAAATTACATGACCTAGTAATGGATAGACAAATTACATGACCTAGTAATGGATAGACAAATTACATGACCTAGTAATGGATAGACAATTTACATGACCTAGTAATGGATAGACAATTTACATGACCTAGTAATGGATAGACAATTTACATGACCTAGTAATGGATAGACAAATTACATGACCTAGTAATGGATAAACAAATTACATGACCTAGTAATGGATAGACAAATTACATGACCTAGTAATGGATAGACAAATTACATGACCTAGTAATGGATAGACAAATTACATGACCTAGTAATGGATAGACAAATTACATGACCTAGTAATGGATAGACAAATTACATGACCTAGCAATGGATAGACAAATTACATGACCTAGTAATGGATAGACAAATTACATGACCTAGCAATGGATAGACAAATTACATGACCTAGTAATGGATAGACAAATTACATGACCTAGCAATGGATAGACAAATTATAGACCTAGTAATGGATAGACAAATTACATGACCTAGTAATGGATAGACAAATTACATGACCTAGTAATGGATAGACAAATTACATAACCTAGTAATGGATAGACAAATTACATGACCTAGTAATGGATAGACAAATTACATGACCTAGTAATGGATAGACAAATTACATGACCTAGTAATGGATAGACAACTTACATGACCTAGTAATGGATAGACTAATTACATGACATAGTAATGGATAGACAACTTACATGACCTAGTAATGGATAGACAAATTACACGACCTAGTAATGGATAGACAACTTACATGATCTAGTAATGGATAGACAACTTACATGACCTAGTAATGGATAGACAAATTACATGACCTAGTAATGGATAGACAAATTACATGACCTAGTAATGGATAGACAAATTACATGACCTAGTAATGGATAGACAAATTACATGACCTAGTAATGGATAGACAAATTACATGACCTAGTAATGGATAGACAAATTACATGACATAGCAATGGATAGACAAATTACGTGACCTAGTAATGGATAGACAACTAACATGACCTAGTAATGGATAGACAAATTACATGACATAGTAATGGATAGACAAATTACATGACCTAGTAATGGATAAATGACTTACATAACCAAGTAATGGATAGACAAATTAAATGACATAGTAATGGATAGACAAATTACATGACCTAGTAATGGATAGACAAATTACATGACCTAGTAATGGATAGACAAATTACATGACCTAGTAATGGATAGACAACTTACATGACCTAGTAATGGATAGACAAATTACATGACATAGTAATGGATAGACAACTTACATGACCTAGTAATGGATAGACAAATTACATGACCTAGTAATGGATAGACAACTTACATGACCTAGTAATGGATAGACAACTTACATGACCTAGTAATGGATAGACAACTTACATGACCTAGTAATGGATAGACAACTTACATGACCTAGTAATGGATGTAATGGATAGACAACTTACATGACCTAGTAATGGATAGACAAATTACATGACCCAGTAATGGATAGACAAATTACATGACCTAGTAATGGATAGACAACTTACATAACCAAGTAAATTGCCCGAATCACTAACCTAGTTATGAGATTTTTGCCCGAAAAACTTACATGACCATTCAATCCCGGCATAGGTCGAGATAATACCTTCGGATTTTTCAACCCGGTTTCCCCCTGATGCAGGTAGGAGAGGCTGACACGGAAAAAGCGTCTAGTCGTTCGGATGGGACAATAAACCAAGGCTACAGGCTGTGCACGTTAAAGATCCCCGTCTTAATTAGCAGAAAAGTAGGACGTAAAACTCCCTTCACTTTATTTCATTTTTACATATGTCGAAATGTCATTAGATGTCCCAGATAAGTCAAAATGCCCTGCAAAATTTCGTCACCATTTAAGAGGTAATTACAATAGGTACAAACTGCATATTAGGCCAACATCTTGTACTTTAACCTATTGATAGTTATATTAATCAGGTCACTGATACAACAACAACATTTTTATATTATCTTCCTGTTGTTATCATCGAGACTAGGCCCAGACCTTGACTGCTGAACACTCTGTTTTCTCGTTGCCTTGTAACATTTATAATAAGATGTTTCTTCCCGGAAGGTTTCCGGTCAGATGGATAACCTTGCTGATAGCGTGCTTGATCAGTGTCGGAAGCTGTTATGATGTGGATGTGCAGCAATTTAAAGATTCCGGATTTCAAATCGGTCCAAAATTTGTCGGAGTTACCATCGATTCCGGTATATTCGGACATTTTTCAGAGCTGCAATTGCAGTAAGTCAAACTACTTCTTACTCATCTATATTGTTAAGCCGAAGGCTGTAGGATCAGAATTCCGATCAGGTTGAAAATCCACAACATCTTAATTTTTGATGAATTCTTTGTGTGCCGAAATCAGAAACGCTTACACACTGTTCATATCTCATTTAAAGCAAAACAGAAATAAGGGGTTGGTGACGATCCAGACTTCCAAAAGTCTTTTTTGTATATCCAGATTGTACACACATGGACATAATTATATGCAATAAGAACATAATGATATGATTTAGAATACATGATGATTTATTAGATAAAACCATCTTAAAGGTTCTGTTCTATTTCAGGAACCCTAAAGTGCTGACTCTGGCTAAAGGGTTAACCCCTAATAGAGTGCGTGTTGGCGGTACTGACTGTGATTTTGTTATTTTCAATGATACAGTAACTAGTGGTTTAAATAAACAGAGTAATCATACTAATACTTCCATGACTGGTAAGCTTCTTTATTCATTTCATACTCTCCTCTTCTTTATTTATCAACCGTTACAGAGAACAAAGTATCGAAAATACCCAATACTCAGTGTACATGAAGATGTGCATGTCTAAATATGGATAGTTCAATATTCAAATGTTAAACTCAACCTCCATCCAAAAAAGGAACAAAAAATGACAATTACAAAAACACCCAAGAAACTTAAAGGAGTACTTCCACTATCCGTTCGACCAATCAAACCTTAGTTTCAGAAACAGGATTTATTTTAGCTTACATAATCAGTAATAGTGTTCACAGCTCATCGTCAAATAGAATACACATATATAGGAATAGACAGTGAAATTTCTAGTTGGGGGTATATTTGAAGGAATTATGCGATGTTCGTGCGTTTTAGTACTTCTTCAGACTATTATTAAAGCACAATAAAGACCCAAAATCAATCCCCGAAAATGCCGACTGTTCCCCTTTAAATGAGTGTCAAGTTGATATTGACAATATGCCGATATCAAATCCGATAACGTCCGATGAACGGATCCAGTTGGAATAATGATTTTTATGGTTTATTTTCAGTTGCTGATTGGGACGAACTGAACAATTTTGTGAGGAGTGTTGGTTGGGATTTGATTTTTGATTTTAACGAGTTTCTGCGGAAGGGAGACAACTGGGATCCTACCAATGCCATAGAAATCCTGAAATACTCACAACAGAAGGGATATAAACTGTGGGGATATGAGCTAGGAAATGGTAATGTGCATTCTGATTAATTGGATTTGGCTTTTTCTTTCATTGTTCAGCTTCATCTTTGATTGTTCGGCCTCATCTTTGATTGTTCGGCCTCATCTTTGATTTTTCGGTTCTTTTGGGTACTCCTAATTGCCTAAACGCCTAATCGTTTGAAAGGCATACACGGCAAATCAACAGTCCTTTTCCCAAGCTAATGTAAACTGCAAAAAATAAGTCGACTTCTCATACAACATTATATGATCTTTCGCCTCTAGTGATCGGTCGAAAGGATATTTAGTCCATAGAATTTTAGCCTTGGTTACCATTATGTTTCTGGAGACTTATAATGTGGTAAATATATCTACAAAAAGAGAATTGCTCGCTGCTGTTGATTGTTGATAGTTTAACATACTTGTCCAAGGAACTGAGGTATGTCATATGATGTAACTTTGATCTATTTGCAAGGTTTTTCTTTCAGAATTGGATGTATTTCGAGAGAATAATCTATCTGTTCCACAGATCGCATCTGATTTCATTTACTTCAGACAGCTGTTAGAAAGTATGGCCGGAATATCACCTTTTACCCTACTAGGACCAGACGCTGGAACTGTGGAGAATAGATCCGATGTTTATATGACGGCGTAAGTTTCTGTCAATTTGAGGTTTAAGGAATACATAGGGTTTAAGGACTTCATGAAGTGTTTGAATCTGTGAAAATATCAACCACTAAATTATCAGCATCTTTATTTTCTTTCTTGAGCAGACATATGTATTGTAGGTACCTAAATTGCACCCAGTAAGATTATAGTTATTTGTTGAGTTTTTTTTAGTTTATTGCAGACGAACATTTTGTCAAAACTTCACTCTAAAAAGTGGTACAGGGATTAAAAGATATAGTAAGTCTTTACGGTTGTATCTTATTTATTACAGGTTCTTTAAAGCTGGTGGAGCTAATGCTATCGACGTCTCAACTTGGCATCAGTAAGTTCATTTTCTCTGTGCCATCTAATCAATGTCAAGTCTAAGTTAGCTTCAAACACTGCAGTCTTCTTGTTCATTCCTAAAAAATGAAAAACAATAACAGTCCAACTACATTGTATTGCAGATCTCAAGGTCCCATATTTGCTATAATTAAATGTTTTAATCGTTTTGAGAAAGCGTCAGATGGTTATGTTATATCGTCAGATGTATTTTTGGGGGTTTGTGGGATCGTGGCCTCAAACTCCTAACACAAGTAGGACCTACCATCTTGTAGCATCAGAATCGTACGAATCAGTCCACATCTGTTTTGATTAGAATACCAGATCCATTAACACACATGTTTACTTTACATGCTAATTTTTCCCCACCAGTAGAGTGGCGGACATGGAAAAAGCGTCTGGTCGTTCGGATGGGATAATAAACCGAGGCCCCTATGCTACAGGCTGTGTACGTTAAAGATCCCCCGACAGTTGGAAATCGAAAAAGAGCAGGCTAATGCCGCTGTCTTGGCAAAACTTTCCTCATTGCACCCTGCATGGCGTTGCCCGTCTTCATTAGCCCACATGGTGCAGAAAAGTAGGACGTAAAACTCCATTCATTTAATTTTTTTACATGCTAATTGAATTCCCTTTTCTCAGTTACTATATGAACAGTCTAAAAGCAACAGTTGAGAAATTCCACGACGTCAAGACTCTAGAATCGCTCAGACCAGAATTAACTAAAGTTATGGAAATCTGCAGAGAATATGCTCCAGGAAAAGAGGTTTGGTTGGGAGAAACATCTTCGTCTTATGGTGGTGGAGCTCATGACATATCTGATAGATACGTCGCTAGTTTCTTGTGAGTTATAACAAATATTTGAAATTGAAACAACTCGTCTTTCGAATGATATTGGAGTCATTTTGAACTGATATTTAACAGTATTGAGACAAGTGAATAGGTTGCAATACTTTTCAAGAAGCTTCAGACAAAAATTTTATGTAATTTGATGTCAATTTGGAATGGCCTCGATTGTTTTTGGATCACTTGGTTTAGTAAAATTCATTAGAAAATAATAGATTCAAACAGTCTGAAATCTTGATATGCTCTTTTTGCCTGATAAACACTTAGTATGCCCTTTAAGCCTGTTGATTAGCACTTATGACAATTAATATGAACATATAACTAGATAGGTGTATATCTTGTTTCAGATGGTTAGATAAACTCGGTCTGTCATCATCTCTGGGAATTCAAGGTATACTACGACAGACGTTTTATGGTGGAAACTATGCTTTAATGGGATCTACATTTGATCCCAATCCGGTAAGCTAAGATAATGGTCAAGATACCCAATCCGGTAAGCTAAGATAATGGTCCAGAGATCCCAATCCGGTAAGCTAAGATAATGGTCAAGATACCCCAATCTGGTAAACTAACATAATGGTCAAGAGATCCCAAGCCGCTTGTTAACATAATGATCCAGAGATCCCATTCCGGTAAGATAGCACAATAGTACAAAGATCCTAATCCGACAAGAAAACATGATGGTTCAGAGATCCCAATCCGTAAGCTAACACAATGGTGCAAACAGGCAAGCATATATATTATTCCAGATATCCCAATCCGGTAAGCTAATATATTGTTCCAGAGATCCCAATCCGGTAAGCTAATATAATGTTCCACAGATCTCAATCCGGTAAGCTAATATAATGGTCCACAGATCTCGTTCCGGTGTCATAACATAATAAACTAGCATAATGGGCTAGAGATCCCAATCAGGTAAGCTGGTATAAGGATAGGATATCATAAGGGTTTGGGGGATCACCGTGCGGTAAAATGGCATAAGAGTCCGGGGATTCCCATCCGGTAAGCTAACTTACAGTTCAGGGATCCCAAACCAGTTTTTACTTTGTGTGGCAAAGTTGTTTTCACGTCACTCGTCTCATTAATCGCATCTGAAGCAAGAAAAGTATATACTCATTCATATTATTGTAGCCTACTGATTTATTTTAGGACTATTGGTTGACCTATTTGTATAAAAGATTGGTTGGTAGTCCAGTTTTAAAGGTACCAGAGGTTTCCAGTGATTTCAGACTTTATGCTCACTGTACCAATACTAACAGGTGGGTGTATAGGCGTAGGCGCATTCGGAAATCATCGGTAGCTTCCGTAAGGCTATAGAGCATTAGAAGAACATTTACAGTACACCGTTTGTCGTAAGCGCTGAAAAATCCTTGCCACATGTTGCCCTTTAGACCCATTTGACAATTCTGTGACCCCTTAAAGGTCTCTTTACTTAATGATGCATAGAGACGCCACTATGAACTTTGAAAATCAATTCTATTGGACAAGAAAATACCTATTTGTATAAAAGATTGGTTGGTAGTCCAGTTTTAAAGGTACCGGAGGTTTCCAGTGATTTCAGACTTTATGCTCACTGTACTAATACTAACAGGTGGGTGTATAGGCGTAGGCGCATTCGGAAATCATCGGCTGTTTCCGTAAGGCTATAGAGCGCTAGAAGAATGATGTCAGTACTTAAAAGAGCATTTGATTGGTTAAGATTATGAATACAACTTTCATTCAAACCTCGCTAGATCTGCAGAATGGCCGAATTAAATAAAAAAAACACTAAAGATTATCTTGAGTTGTATTTCAATCATATTATTTTCAATCTGTTGTAGCTCCAGTCAATATGAAAAGGGGAGTATAACGATGTATTTTATGAATCTAGGAGTTGATACCATACCACTTGACTTTCCTGATATTTCTCACAACCCAGTCGATGTTTATATCTTCAGTCCAGGAGAATACAGAAACCTGACCTCCAAGTAAGTTGGCAACTTTCTCAGACATTTGACATTTGATTCCATGGAAAGTTTTAACAATGACTATATATCAAGCTATACGTTACCCTTTTTACATTACATACCTTCGGATTTTTCGATCCGGTTCACCCTGACTTCCGATTTATGAGACCTATTTATGAGAGTCATGCCCGAAAATCTTGCATTGGCCTCCACGTTTTTACGCCGAAAGGATCCATTGGTACACAAAAATTTGGCTAAAAACATTTAAACGGAATACATTTGTATATACAAGGGTACTGTTCACAATGGTCAAAACTCGGCCGATCTATGAATTGTTTGGAAAGATGATATCTAAATCGCATCCAAGTTATGTGACCACTTCACCAGACAGGTGTTTTTTTTTACTTTTACCCACGAGTCGCAAGCGTAAGAAGGGTTAAAATGACACAGCATAATTATACTAATGTCAATGTCTAAAGAATTGGAATCATTGTAATTACAGGAGTGTTAGAATGAATGGTCAAATTCTGGAATTGAAGAACGAGTACGAGTTACCGCCCTTGATACCAGAGAGTCGTAACAGCACGGTTAATATTGAAGCTTATGAGATGGGTTATATCGTACTCCCGAATGTTAAATCAACACCATGTCTTTGATATAAAAAAAAATGTTTATAAATTAAGTTATTTGTTAGTTATACCCACAGTGGAGGCAGTTTTCTAAATATTTGCTTTTTTTCTATTAGAACTGTCTTAAAGCGACAGAAGTTTAAAAACCCATTACATGATGTTATGTGATTGTACAAGAACTGGACGCCTTTTCTCTGAAGAGTGCTGCAGATAGCAAAAATTTACTATCCGATTTTTAAAATCTTTTGAGTGGACATCTTACAGTTATTAAAATGAGGTTTTCTAAAAAAAAATTATCTGTATCAATTCGAACCATTCCAATTTTAAATCTTACATCAGTGGTTCCTGCAATTCCACTTAAACTAAGCGTTTAATGATTTCACTAACCGCAGGATTATGCTGTCACATAAGGACTTAGTAACGCCATAAAACATTAGTTTCAATGGAATTGCAGGAACCACAGACGTCTGATTGAAATTGGGATGGTACAAATTAATGCTATCAAACTGCATATTAGGCCAACATCTTGTACCTTAACCTATTGATAGTTATATTAATCAGGTCACTGATACAACAACAACATTTTTATATTATCGTCCTGTTGTTATCATCGAGACTAGGTCCAGACCTTGACTGCTGAACACTCTGTTTTCTCGTTGCCTTGTAACATTTATAGTAAGATGTTTCTTTCCGGAAGGTTTGCAGTCAAATGGATAACCTTGCTGATAGCGTGCTTGATCAGTGTTG